AAAATAAGGAGCCCCTCCCCACACCCCTCTGAGAGAGATTTGGTTACAAAGAACTCAATGGTGCTATAGGAGGAGATTCAGGTGATAAGGTGGGGGGGAAGTACCTTGGTTGCTGATTGGCTAATGGTTACTCAAGCCAAAAAATCGTTATGACATCATAAAGAGGCCAAAATCTGATCAGCTCATTTTCAGACATGTTTTTATAGAAATGGATCAGGACAAAAAGAGAGAGAATCTTTTTTCCTGAAACTTTCAGAATCTCTTTCCACAGAGGGGACACATGTTGATGTAGAAGAGACATGAAAAAGGGGATTTTGCATAATAGGTGGCCTTTAAACTCAGTTATAATTGGTTAAAATGGAATAATGAGATCTCTCACCCTCACTAAGCGCGCCCTCTTCACCAGGTCATTCAGCTTGCGTACTGCAGCATTGCGCGGCAGGTTCCTGATGTCGGCCAGCAGGTCCTCCTCCTCCACCTCGATCAGCTGATAGTGGTCGCACACCTGCCTCGGCTCTGACCAGAAAGATCCGATATAAACCCGCATGACCTCCGGGGTTTTAAACACTTTCCCCAGCGACCACATGAGGGAGCCGTACACTCTCATGAGCTGCTGCGAGTCCACCCTGTCGGCCTTGTTGAGAACCACACGCAGCTTGTCCTCGTGTCCGCACAGCGCCCCGAAGGCCCGAGTGAGCTCATCGGAGAACTCTAGTTTATGTGCATCAAACAGCAGGATGATCCGATCCACACGCTCTGCAAACCAGCGCAGCACTGCTGGGAAGTCGTAGCCTGGGGATGAGGAATGAAAACACAGGGATCTCATTAAGGCAAGTCTCTGTGCCTCAACACCTACGGACACATACTGTATATCCCAGAGGCTCTCACTGGTTGCAGGCCATGTCAGTTACACCCATAGATTAGTGTTGATAAAACAAAGGGGAGACGGCTTTGTTTTCCTGCTCGTCTCCTCCCAAACTCAGTGATATTACTTACAGCTGCAGTGCTTCTGAGTTCAAGTGTTTGAATTTCAATAAATGGAATATTATTATTGTAATGGATCTGCTTCGTCTCTTCTGTTACCAGGAATTTAAATCATCCTGACAGCGACAATGCTGTCCAACTTTCTAAAACGGAATATTTGGAAGTAGAAGAAGAAGACCCATAAACTTTGAAAAGGAAATTGGAAAAGTGTTATTTCACCTCGACTCATTTTTCTTCTCGCAGCAGTTAAGATGCCCGGCGTGTCGATAATGCTCACGCTCTCCAGGACTTTATTTGGCATCTGAACGCACTGAAACCTGGAAAGAATAAACGCTTCAACATAATGCATAGGAATGTGTTTAATGAATATTAATAAGACAGCTTCACACTGCAATGTTTGGCCGTGTTAAAACAAATGTTGCCAAAAGTTGGAAGAAATAGTAGGAACATATCCTCCCTCCCCTATCTCTCTTTTTTCTCGTCTGCTTTTGTCACCTGTTCAGAAAAGCGTTTCCAAAAGGATCGAGGTTGCGAAAGGGCTTTTTGGGGTCCACTGTGAGGGCATTTCCAGGGATGATGCCTTCCACCTCGCCGTGCATGAGGGCAGTGAAGCAGTCCGTGGTTGGCTCTGGTCCTACTCTGCTGCCAAGGAAATCTTGTTCTATGAGATACCTGAAGTCCAAACCAACATTAGAACATCAGCAGATTACTTGATTACACAAAAGCCTGGATGTTCTGACTAACCTGATGAAAGTAGTCTTTCCAGTCGAGTACTGACCCATCACCAACACCATGGGTTTATTGTCGAACTCTGCATCCTCGTAGCACGGGGAATGAAAGTGACTGAAGGCGTAGTATTTCTCAATCGGCATCAGCCTCTTATAATAAAGGTTCTTCAGCTCCTCTGTCACAACATTGACATCCCCCAGAGTTTTAGGGTTGCTCCAAAGCCTCCGTAATGACATGGCGACGAATCTCTGCTCTTCAGTGTGGAAGCTGCTCGCTCTTCTAAGACCAAACCAAATGATGGAAGAATGTGAATATTATCAGAACCTCACAGCTGTGTGCTCCGTCCTGCAGCGGGGACAGTGAGAGGGTGGAGAGGGTGTAACCAGAGCCTGCAGCTGCACCTAGCATCAAGCCAATGTCGAGAGGGACAGGGTGGAGCGCAGTTCAGTTGTGTTGTAGCCGAAGAGGGAGAATCTTGGCAAAACTCGTGCAGATTGTTCATGCAGAGACGATGTGGACGCTTTAAAAGTCTTACGTAACACTCAATATGTCCAAGGCTTCTTCTAATGTGACACCGTTTTCAGAAAACATTGTAAGAGGTTAGAAGGTTTGTAATTCTACATTGACGAGGCACCATCATTTGTATGATATCATCTAAGTGCAAAAGGAGGCAGTGGTCCCATGACTTAAACTGGCAGAGGTCTGAAGTTGTGATAACACGGTTGCTGGGTGTGTCCGCTTTGCTCATATTAAAGTGTAATCTGATAGTCGAGCAGGATTCATTTTGACATTCTTCCCTTAATGAACTATCTCCACTGTTACTTCAGCACACAGAAGTTGCTGTGAATTTGTTTTCCTTGATTAACCTTTGAAAGAAAAGCATTCCCATATGTTCTTTGAGGGAAGCAGTATACTGTAGCTTTTGCAGCTTGTAATTTATATATATATACGTTTAATTCATGTGCATTTATTTTTTGTACGACATCATACACAGAGGTGGAAGAAGGATTTGGATTATTAACTTAAAGTGGACCTACTGTATCATGCTATATTTGAATAATATAGTGTAGGACCATACCTATGTAAGGCATATTTATACTTTTTATTTTTCAAAATACCAAACAGATCATGCATTTTAGCCATTCCTCATTTCGCTCAATTTAACACTGTCTTTTCATGGGCTGATTCTGTGAGAACAGCACCATCTACAGGCCTGGCATATGTACTACAGCGTCTCCAGCGCTTTGGAACGGCAATGTCCGTGGCTGTCTCCTCCTGATTGGTGGAGTTGGCCCAATAGCCGTAGTGCCACTTCTGTGACGTCACTGAAAGTGTTCAAATCTGGAATCAGTCTGTATCAGATCCG